GGTGAGAGGATTGTCTGAGTCCATGGGTTCGAGACCAGCCTGGGCAACTGGCAAGACCTCATCTCTACAATAAATCAAGAAAAATTAGCCAGGCATGGTGGCACATACCTGTAGTTCCAACTTCTTGGAAGACTGATACAGAAGGATCACCGGAGACAAATAGGTTAAGGCTGCAGTGGCCGTGAGCATGCCACTGCCCTCCAGCCTGGGCGTCAGAATGAGACTCCTACACACACAAAAAAAAAGAGGGTGAAGAACTTGTTTAAAACACAAAACAGACTCCATCCACTTCAGCCCTGAGGAGAAAGTACGGTGGTAGAATTTGGCTTCACACAGTCCGGACATAGATTCCAGGCAGGGAGAGGGGTCCGAGGAACTTAGCGAGGACCCAGCCTGGGAGAGAGAATCTGCAAGGAGTCTCCAGCAGGGCAGTCAGAGCTCTTTTAACAGCAGGAATGCTGGATAACAAATGCTACAACAGTTTGCTTTGCTGTGACACAAAAACATTTGACCTTTTGAATAAAGTCTGCTTTTCAGACAAACGTTTACGTGAGTGGTGCTGGGAGAAAACAAAGAAAAGGCCCATCTCTGCATTGGTGGGAGCAGAGGGGAAAGAATCATCGTGACATGTGGGAAGGGGCCGGGCTCGGTGGCTCAGCCTGTCATCCCAGCGCTTTGGGAGGCTGAGGCAAGTGGATTGCCTGAGCCTGTGGGTTCGAGACCAGCCCGGGCAACTTGGTGAGACTTTGTTTCTACAATTAAAAAAAAAAATAGCAGGACATGACAGCACACGCTCATAGTTCCGGCTACTTGGAAGGCTGAGGTGGAAGGATCACCTGAGACCAGCAGGTTGACGATGGGGTGGCCGTGAGCGTGCAGAGTGAGACTCCAACTCAAAAAAAAAATGTGGGAGGTGAATGATCTCCATGGTGCTGAAGATGCAGGCACTTGGTGTCAGAGAAGAGCGGTTCACAGACACTTTCAGAAAGCCTCTGGACTTCTCCCAGAATAAGGTGAGGAGGTGCAAATAAACAGTGACATCAGCTGACATGTTAAGTAGATGAGATGAAACAGAGCTCAAGCTAACTACTTAGAAATAAAGATCCCTTGGTACAGTTGGGAGACCACCACTTTCACTGGCTTGAACCCACTTGTGCGAGATGAAAATGACCTAGACTTAGGAAATCTGGAGAGGCAGGAAGAAAGAAGATGCTAGCCATAGATGGGAAGAAAGGATCCCAAAGTAAAACCCCCACTAGTGAAGCTGCTGCGATTCCATGATAGATTCTAGAGTCAGAAATGCTGTTATCAGAGATCAGAAAGCTTCACGATATGTAGAGTGGTTTTCCAAGATGGCAGGTAAATAAATGAGCTGTAGTTTAAAGACATTCCCGTGGGCAACCCTCTTGGGTCCCCTCCCGCACTGGGAGGTTTTCTGTCCTCTCAATAAATCCTGCTTTCTCACCTCCCCCCCCCCAAAAAAAGATATCCCTGCCTAGTACCTAAAGAGGCAGTGTTCCTGAGCATAGAAAACAGGCCCTGGATGCTGAGGGGAAGTGGTTAAGAGGAAAGGAACGGAGCAAGTAGGAGTCTGGTGGACTGTCCTGGAGGGGCGGGCTCTGAGTGTTGGGGACAAAAGATGCCTCATTCTCCCCCAGCACTTCAACAGCTGCATCCAGACAAGTCTCAGTTTGCCCTCCCAGGGGAGCAGGAAACCTGTGGGGAGAGGCCTGGCCACCCTCCTTCTGATACTCCTCCAGGTAGCTCTGGAAATCAGATGGGCTTTCAGGAACCCGGTTGGCAAACACATCTCTGTCTACTGACAAAAGACCCAAGGTGAACAGGCAGGGTGAGAGGAAGAGCAGACAGCACAGGGACTTCTCAGCTAGTCTTCTGAGGAGACAGGCGTACACGGGTCAGTCCTGTTTGCCTTTGATGGCCCCGTGGACAAATAGCGGCTATGCAGAGAGGAATCTTTCTCCTACAAATCTATGCTCTCACCCAGCTCAGCAGGAATCCGGCCATGCAGACGTCTGACCCGCGCCAGCAAGTCTCTCGTGTATTTTTGAGACTTAAAAGAATGCTAACTTCATTATGAAAGAACTTCATTCTCAAATGTTATCATTGAGAGGTTGCTCCACTGTGCTATTTCCATGGAGGAAAAAAATATTTATTCATTTTTTTCTGATCACAAAAGCAATGAAAATTTATTGGAGCAACAACTAGAAACTCAAAAATGTATAAAGGATAAAATTGAGGCCGGATGCAGTGGCTCACGCCTGTAATCCCAGGGCTTTAGAAGACTGAGGTGGGAGGATTGCTTGAGGCCAGGAGTTCAAGACCAGTCTGGGCAACATACCAAGACTCTATCTCTACAAAAAGTTAAAAAATTGGCAGGCAAGGTGGCACATGCCTTTAGTCCCGGGTACTCAGGAGGCTGAGGCAGACAGATTGCTTGAGCCCAGGAGTTTGAGGCTGCAGTGGGTTATGATCACACCAGTACACTACAGCCTGGGTGAGAGAGTGAGATCCTGTCTCTTAAAAAAGAAAAAAGAAAGAATAAAATTGAAATTGCTCACAAGTTGGGCATTCACTCATTCAACAGATGTGCATTGAGTTCCGGCCTTCTCACTGGCAGGGCTGCTCTAGGCTATGGCAGTAAATACGACAAGATGACATCCTTGTTCCTGTACCACTGACATGCCAGTAGGGAAGCAGACCAGAGGCGCTTCCAAAAGCATAAAGGATTTCAGGTCATGACTGACACCAAAAAGAAGAATAAACAGGGCATGAGGGACAGGGAAATCACTTTGGGGGAAGGAGGGTCATTCATATTTAGAGGGTCAGGTGACATTCCAGAAAGAAGCGAAGTGAGTGAACTTTTGGATGTTTTTCTTCCAGTCTTTTAACTAAACACTAACATTTTTGTTATCGGTTACAAGTTTTTGAGTGAAACTTTAAAAAAAATAAACATCTTTTTCTTAGAAAAATAATACTTGTTCACTGTAGAAAACCTGGAACATCGTGAGAAACCTGGAAGGGGAAAGTAGAGAAAAGACAAATCTCCCACAGCAGTTCTGCCATAGGACAATTCTGCATGTGTGTTGATACATTTTCCTCCTGGCACATTTCTCAGTTGCTAAACTCACATGGTATTTACACTACTGAGTCCTGACTTTCTTCTTTCTACCCTCTGTTATAAACATTACCCCATACTGGTCAGAGTTTTGAGAGAGAAAGTGCAAGCGGCCACTGTTTCCCTTCTATGTGGGAAAAGAACTTCATAGACGCCCAGGTGCCCTGCTCCTATCTGGCTGCCTGGGTGCCATCCTGTTTGGGAAGACCCTGGGCCTCCATTCAACCTGTAAAGGAGAGCTTGAGTTAATTGACAAATCCCAGAGGGCCAGAAGTCAAGCCTCAGGCAGACGCACCACCTTGTGCCACACCCAGAGGGAGCTGAAGTTGCCAGCCGAGCCAGTGGAGTATCTGTTCATTTATATATATATATATATATATATATATATATATTTTTTTTTTTTTTTTTTGAGTTAGAGTCTCACTCTGTCGCCCAGACTGGAGTGCAGTGGCCGCTCCCAGCCACTACAGCCTCAACCCGCTGGGCTCCAGCGATCCTCCCGCCTCAGCCTTCAGAGTAGCCAGAATTACAGGCGCGCGCTACCACGCCCAGCTGATTTTTTTATTTATTGTAGAGATGAGGTCTTGCCAAGTTGCCCAGGCGGGTCTCAAACCCACGAGCTCAGGCAATCCACTCACCTCAGCCTCCCAAAGCATGGGATTACAGGCTGAGCCACCGAGCCCGGCTGGAGTATCTGTTCAGAGGTGGAGATGAGGGAGACACAAACCCAGGGGGAAGGCAGGAACCCAAGAGAGACATAGGCAGCAGGAATGTCTATCCCCAGAGCAGAGCTGACAGCTCCTCTGTCTGAGTCTGAGGCAGCCTCAGACTCCCTTTTAAAATTCCTGCAGGAGAGATGCCATTGTCTCAGGAAACCCCCAAGGGCCTTGCCGGGTCCATCTCAGGAAGCAAACGCAGGCCACTGCCTTCCCCTCTCTCACTGCAGCATCTCAGCCCCTCAACCATCTCCCTCTAGGACTGGATCTCCTCCTTTTAGTCTTCGCCTTATTGGGGCCTCATTCTGGGCCTATAACCACTGACCCCCACTCCCAACCCTATCCAAACAGGTCATTAGAGAATTTTATGAGCAAGACATTGCTCTTCTAAAATCTTCCAGTATGTCTACCATACCTGCTATAGTACCAGTACTAAGAAGTGTTTGGTTACCCGTGAAAGGCGGGTCTGGTTGATCAGAGGTGTCAGGGAGCTTCTCAAGATCTGCACTCATGTCTTGCATGTTTCACCAAGATCCAAATGGCTTGGTGCTTTGAGCAATCTTTGTTCATGCTCCTACAAAGTCTTGCTACTTTCTACTAGTGTGCCAGTAAGCAAATTATTTGTCCTTTGACTCTGGTTTTCTTACCTGAAAAAAAAATGGGAATAATAATATGTAGCTCTTAGAGTTGCATGAGTATCAAGAGGCACACCACATGTGAAGTGTTCAGCACATAGTAAGTGCTCAATAAACAGTAGCTATGCTACTTTATGACCAAGAAAATTCTGGATTGGCCAACATAAGCAGGGTTTTTTTGTTTCCTGCCTTTAAAATGTTTCAATCCAAGACAGAGGTCACATACTCAGATGCCTTCAGGCCAGTCAGGTAACAAAAGTGAGAGAAGCAGAGAGCAGTTGGAATTAGGCAAACCAGAGAGCACAGGCTTCTTGACGTGCAGGAATGCAAGGCTTGAGTTCAGATCTTCTGATTTCTCCCTTCTAAGGGAAGCCATAAATCTGGATTTTTATGTGAAATGACTGGAGTCTTGTAAAATGTGGCATTAAGTCCTTTTTTAAAACCTGATACAGACCAAACCAGTGTGAAGAGCTTTGCCGGAGGTGGCAGGGTGGTGTGTGGAAAGATGCCTGGTTATAAAATGATGTTTATGTGGAAATCAGGGAGGGTCTGCCGAAGAGAAGACAAGGATGTGGGGCACAGAACGGGATGGCGGGATTGGAGTTTGCTGTCTAGCATGTGGCCTCTGGAGTGGGTGACTGAAGTGAGTGAACCCCCTAGGGATGAGGGGCTTAAAGAACAGGAAAGCCAACAAGGAACTGGGGCCCGGACAAGGATATGTGAAGGGTCTGAGCTGTCGAGGAACATTGTGGGATACCAGCCAGAGTCTTCAGTGGGCAAGAAGGTTGACCCAATGATAGCTACAAGGAAAGCTGAAAGGCAGGATCCAGGGAGCACACACTTCCAAGGGAAAGTGCGAGTTATGATGCCACCTCAAGGAAGAGCTTTGCAACCTGCGTGGAATGACTATGCAAGTGATTGGCTGATAGAGAGCCTGGTGTACAGAGATGCTCCGAAAATATCATTCAGATAACTGCTTCATTTTCCCAATAAATACTTCCTGGGGGCATACTATGTGCCAGATCCTAGGGGTGAGCAAGGTCATGTAGAGGAGCCAGTGGGTCCACATGCAATGGCAGGGCAGACCAGTAAGGATGATGCGGAGCCATCTATGGAGGAGCAGACCTAGGAACACAGGGACCCTTCTGGAGCCCATTGAGGAAAGAGGATGAATGGGGGAAAGGAAGGTGGGCAGTTGTCCAGACAGGGGAAAGGCTCTGGAAGCTGGAGGCTAGTAAGTCACAGTACAATTGAGGAGCTGAAAGAATGCTGCAGAGCTGGCTCTCAGCAGTCAGGGGTAGTGTGCCCGGCCTTCCAATGAGGGACACACCTCTGGGACCCAGAGAGAATCCTTGGAAGGTTTTAAGCAGGGCAACACACATTTTTCTTTCTTTCTTTCTCTCTTTCTTTCTTTCTTTTTTTTTAGTTGAGGTCTCACTCCATTGCCTAAACTGGAGTGCAGTGGCACAATCACAGCTCACCACAGCCTCAGACTCCTGAGCTCAAGTGATTCTCCCTCCTCAGCCTCCTGTGTAGCTGAGACTATAGGCACACGACCACACTCAGCTTTTTTTTTTAATTGGAGAGATGAGGTCTCGCTATGTTGCCCAGGCTGGTTTCAAACTCCTGGGATCAAGCAGTCCTCCTACCTTAGCCTCCCAAGTGCTGGGATTACAGGTTGAGCCACCACACCCAGCCAGCAACATACATCTTAACCAGTATTTATATAATCTGTCTGCCAAGCACTTCTCCAAGAACTTTGTAAAATCATAAGCACACTAATTTATCTTCCTACCAGCCTTATAAACTAGGTCCACTATCCACTACCCTCTATTCCACAGCCCCAAACTCTCCAAACCTAAAGATTTTTATAGCTTGTTTGGCAGCTGAACTGACATGAGGCTATTTCTATTTTTATTTAGCCCCACATAATATAAATATTCATATGTTTCACTGGCAGAAATACTATGTTTGATTGCAGGGTATTGCCCCAGATCTCACTAGGGATGTTACAAAATAAATGACATGTGAAGAGTACTGCCTTTTATATATCCAAATCTCTGAATTCTGAAACATATGTGGCCCCAAAGGTTTTGGACAAGGAATTTTGGGTTTTTTTGTTTGTTTTTTTTTGAGTTGGAGTCTCACTCTGTCGCCCAGACTGGAGTGCAGTGGCCGCTCCCGGCCACCGCAGCCTCGACCTGCTGGGCTCCGGCGATCCTTCCTCCTCAGCTTTCCGAGTAGCCAGAATTACAGGCGCGCACTACCATGCCCGGCTAATTTTTTGATTTAGTGTAGAGATGAGGTCTCGCCTGCCCAGGGTCTCGAACCCGCGGGCTCAGGCAATCCACTCACCTCAGCCTCCCAAAGGCGCGGGATTACAGGCTGAGCCACTGAGCCCGGCTTGGACAAGGAATTTTGTAAAACCTGTTACTATCCCCGTTTTACAGATGAGGAAACTGAGGGATAAGTCATTTCCCCAAGGTTATATGGGTAGCAAAGTGAGAAAGCCAAAATATAAATCCAGACAGTTTGGCCCTCAAATCCATGCTACATCTGACCTGAACTATTTATTCTCCATTCTACATAGATGTCTGTAGTTGCTGTTAGGCAATAGACCGGAGAAAGGAAACCAGGAAGAAAGCCATGGTAGGTGACTAGTTACAGGATAACAGTAGGGATGGAAGGGAGAGGCCAGTGATGTTTAAATGGAAAACAGGCTGGGTACAGTGACTCATACTTGTAATCCCAATGCTTTGGGAGGCTGAGGCGGTAGGCTCACTTGAACCCAGGAGTTCAAGATCAACCTGGGCAACATAGTGAGACCTCATCCCTACAAAAAAATCAAAACTAACCAGGAGTGATGTCCCAACTACTCAGGAGGCTGAGGTGGAAGGAACACCTGAGCCCAGGAGGCCAAGGCTGTGGGGAGCCGTGATTGTGCTACTGTACCCCTTTGTGGGTGAGAGTGAAACTCCCCTCACCAAAAGGAAAAAGAAAAAAGGAAAATCAACAGTGCCTGATGGTTGTCTGTTGACTGGGAGGAGTTGGGGGCCATGGGAAAATGAGTCAAGGAGGGCACCCAGAATTCTGGATTCAGCCCTGGGTAGATCAAACAATGAGCCACTCAGTGATGCAGGGAACAGAAGAGGGAAGAGGCAGAGAATTCAGTATTCCACATCTTGTGTTTAAGTTGAGATGTTAACTAGGTAGATGAATACACATGGCAAGTGCTTGGGAAAGAGACCCGGGGTCAGGATAAAGAGTTAAGAATTGCCAGATAGAAGTGGTCATTAAGACACACTCAAGGACAGAGTAATGACATAAAGGTCTGTGTTAGAACGTTGAAGAACCCCAACACCGAAGGGCTAGAAAAAGCCAAAAAAGAAGAGAATGTAAGAGACTGAGAAGGACTAGGCAGATGTGTAGGAAGCCAAGGAAAGAGGCTGTCTCAGGAAGAAGGGAGAAGTCGGCAATGTTAGATGCTCCCTGCCTCCTCCAGAAAGGACCCAGGGACCCAGAAGCTGTGGGCAGGATCTCATTTTCCAGGGACTGGTAGGAACTGCTCCAAGCAGTCCCCAGTCCCAAAGTTGCCTAAGATCAGAGACCAGCGTCAACAACAAAGAGCTGTAGGAACCCCAAGGGGCAGCAAGAAAATCCTGCCTGGGAACAAGGAAGACTGAGTGCAGCAACATGGATGGATGGATGCTGGTCCTTGTAGACCTTATAGCATAGTTTGCAAGAAGACAAAATTGAGCCTCAGTGAAATGAGTTTAAATCCAAGCTCTGCCTGGGTGCCCATCAGCAACCTAACCACTCTGGGCTTCACTTTCTTCCCCTAACAACTGGAATGATAACGCCTAACTCATAGATTTGTTATGTATTTACATAACATTGTAACTTACAGTAACTCATAGCATTGTATGTGCTTACAGAGAGGTCAGCATCATACTTGGATTTGTGATAAGGGTTCAAAAGGTTGTTCTACTTAGTATTTATATAATGGATCATTGTTTTTCATTACCCAGTGGAGAAGGTTGAGTGGTAAAGGCATTTCAGGCAGAAAGAGTACTATGAGCAAAGGCCTCACAAGGCCAGGTGTGTTCAGGGAACAGAGACCTGTCTACAGGGCTGGAGAAGATGTCAGGTGGGATTGTAGGACCTGGGGGCAGGACAGAGATGAGGCTCAGCAGCTTCCCCTTATTCTTAAAACGGAATACTATTCCGCAGTGAAAAGAGATGAACTATTGATACACACAACAACCTAGATAAATCTCAAAATAATGTTGAGTGAAATGAGTCAGATAGAAAAAAAATATGTATTACATGCTTTTATGTATAGAATGTTACAAAACACACGCTTCTCTGGATTGACAAAAAGCAGCTCCCTGATGGCCTGAGCATAGTGGGGAGAGGAGGGGAATTACTAAGGGACACTAGAAACTTCTAGGGGTGAGGGAACATTCGTTATCTTCACAGTGGTCATGACATTATAAGTGTATCTGCATGCCCATACTGATCAAATTGTATTCTTTAAATATGAAGTTTGCTGTATATCAAATATACCTTGATAAAGCTGTTTAGAAAAAGAACCCCATATGCCCACTATACTTCTCCCCCTTTTCCTCTTGGGACTTTGTGTTTAAGGCTTTGTTTTACATTTCCTCTTTCCTTCCCTGTATGTCCCTCCATCAGTTTCATAATCTGCCCAAATTTAACATGACTCTCTACTCTGGGCTGGGCAAGAATATCATTCTTCCATAGCAACAAGATGAAAGTGTCAGGACTCAATCAGAGTTCAGTCACCAGGTTAATACACCCTTTATTTCCTCTCATGATGCCAAGCTTCTACAATTGGTTCCATGCCAAAGGTCCAGTTTCTTTGCTAGTCTAGGTAGTTTTGGATTTCAGAGTTGGGAAGGCTCCCTTCCCCTAGTGGTGAAGTAATCAGAGGGGAGCCTTCTGGCCAATCTTTGAGCAGCAGCCATACACGGTTCCCAGGACAGAAACTGTTTCTACACCTCTTATTACTTCCTTCTGGGCAAAAATTGTGACACAATTGCACACTTCTTGTATTATTAATAACAAAATGGAAAGAAATTCTAGTTCATGAAAAGAAAACTAAAAAGAAAAAAAAAGGCTTCTAAATAAAGATGGATCTACAACAGAAATTTTTAACCTGTTGCCAAGTATCTCCAGTATAACTCTTGCCATATACATTATAAATGTAAACAATAATCAAACCTATTAATTCCCTCTGCTTCTTATGAAAAGGAAAAAGTCCTTATATTTGAGTACCAGGAGGCCTCAAGTCAATGGAGAGATTTTTTCCAAGGGTCTATCAGAAGCTCCTCCAGACTTTTCTTTTTTTGATTGGAGTCTCACTCTGTCGACCAGGCTGGAATGCAGTGGCACACTCACAGCTTCACAGCCTCATCAGCATTGACCTGCTGGGTTCCAGCGATCCTTCCACCTCAGCCTTCCAATTCACTGGAACTACAGGTGCGTACTACCACACCCAGCTAATTTTTTTTGATTTACTGTAAAGACAAGGTCTCGCCAAGTTGCCTGGGCTGTTCTTGAACCCGTGGACTCAGGCAATCCACTCGCCTCGGCCTCCCAGAGTGCTGGGATTACAGGCTGAACCACCAAGCCCGGCCCCCTCCTGGCTTTTTTATGCCTTCCAGTCCCCGGTCCCCTTTGCCTCCCCCTCTCACTACCATAGGATGGTGCTCACTACCTGTCTCAGTTCTCTCATCACTCACTCAACCCATCTCCTTCTAGCCTTGGCCACACTCCTCCAGTGAGAAAGCTCACAAAGGCAACCAGGACCTTTCTCAAGACTGATCCATCACCTCTTTGTAGTCTTAACCCTTCTTCTGTCCTCTGCCCTTCTCCAAGCCTCTTGCTACTTCTCCAATCACTCCTTCCCACTGGTTCCTCACTGTATCCCAACACCACAAGTATGGCTAATTTTCTAAATTCTCTCCTTGGCTAGATTTTCCTCTCTCTGTGCACAGACTCTCTGAATACTTTTATACTACCATGCTGCAAGTTTTCATTCATTATTCAGACGACTCCCAAATCTATGCATCTAGCCCTAAGCTTTCTCTCCAAGCTTGAAATTCACAGATGGTGGACTATAAATAAGACATAGTCCTGACAAATGAAAGAAAATATAACTTTTAAATCTATAATTGAAAATCATGAAGGGGTCCCATGGTGGACCAGAAACTGTAGAGAATTCCTAAAGATGAAACGGTGATGGAATTGGATT